TCCAGTTTATTGTTGATTGTCACCTGAAAGATGAAAAAGATGAATCATGCTTTCCTTACCTTAGAATAGTAGTTGCCAAGCTGGGGGTCGGGACCCCCACTAGAGGTCGCAAAGCTTCACAGGGGGTTGCAAAGCCTTGATTTCACAAGGTGTAAAAAACTTTAGAATAATACACACTAGGTCTATATCTCAGCATTTTGTTCATTTCTGTTGAAAAAATCTAAATAAATTGTTATTTTTAAAGTTTACTGCAAATCACGTTTTGACAAATAAAGGCAGGTCTCCATTAGAGGCCTGGTCTGGATTTTATAGAAATTCTTTAGATCTATAGAATCTCTTAAAACCCACCAGGTCACCTGCCCACTTGAGTGAGTTCTTAGATCGCCTACACAAACATGAATGTTTAAACTTTTTCCTTCAAATTGCTTGATTTACGCAAATCTCTACAGCGCAGCAGGTCTTTCTAAGGAGGCTGACATGTTTCTACAGCCCAGAATGGACAAACCAAGGTTTGCCAGGTAAGCTGTTAGTTAGTTGCAACTTCACCGCAAGATGACACTAAATCCTGCACACTGCTCCTTTAATGACTTATTATTTATCAGTTTTCAGTAGGATTTAGTGCCATCTAGCGGTGAAGTTGCAGATTGCAAATCCCTCACCTCCTTCCTGTTCTAAGTGTTCAGGAGAAACTGCGTTGGCCTCGAAATTTGCCTAAAACATGAAAGGCCCTATATAGAGGCAGTGTTTGGTTTGTGTGAAAGTGTTGTCAGTTCCACAATAGTTGTAGCACAAGAATATTATATACCATATAATATTTCTGGAAAAAGCTAAGAATTATTTCAATTCAATAATGTGTGACTTTATGAATCTTTTTTTTATTGTAAAAGTCCCAATACTGTTTCTTTTTTATTTACTCCATAATAGTATAGCTCCCTGAGTAAGACTTTTGTTTTGACAGTTGTGACAGGAAGTGATGTACCATGAGTCCTTCTTGACTGTGGCCCTGCAGACTCTGCGTCACCGCTACAATTTAACTTCTGTCCGTAATTAGTGAGAAACAGGATCCGGGCTGCAGGCCAACTCTCACTGAACATAAAGAAACTCAAAAGCTCCTGATGTCGCAGATCTGTAAGTGTGTGTGTGTGGTTTTTCGGTAAAGTTGAGATCATCTGGTTTCCTAAAAACAGCTTCAGTGTTCCTGCAGGTCCTGGAAAAGCTTTGAAGACAGTTTTAGATGTTATATTCTTGTGATGAGAACTCTGCTGTTTCTGTTGTTCAGTGTTTTTAAAGGCCGATATGAAGTCAAACAGCGCTGCCTTTGTGATACAACGAAACAAAAACCTCCCCAGAATAAACTCCAATCTCCATTAGTTGAGTTCACTGCAGAAACAGTGCCTTGGTCAAAAGTTTTCACTGTTATGTAACGCTGGACTTTTTCCTTTTCTGATAAGCAGACTGCTGCTGTGAAAAAAAATGTTTTTTTCAGCAGAAACATTTATTCTTTTTGTTATTTATTTAAGAATCAACTTTTCTAAAATTGGTCCAGCCGTCAGGTTGGTGCTCTGTTTGTTTTCGGACCTCAGGCTGTGTTTGGTCCGTGCATGGTGTGTTACTGTAACAGCAGATGTGTTTTGCTTCAGTTTTAATGGCGTCTGGGCCTCAAACCCTCGCTCCAGCCTCTCTGCAGCCGTGTGCACCTGATGTGGAAACACAAAGCCTGCTGGGAGTTTTGACACGTGGTCAGTCTGAACTCTGAACAGTCTCTACACACATATCGCGTTGATGTTTTACTGTTCTGATTTTTTTTTCTTCATGCCATGAGAGCTGGGATTCAAACCTGCGTGTTTATCGTTTACGTATAGGGGATCAAGGCGGCAGGCTGAGGCAGCAGGCACTGTTACATTATGGGAGTGTTATGCAAGAGCAGATGGGCTGTGACTGACTCATGGATTTATGGGCTGTGGGCTTCTTCTGCAAACACATCCAGGGTACGACCCGAGAGCTGCGGAACAAACACAGGAGTCAGGAGGTGGATAAATAAATAAGTGAATGAATGAATGAATGAGTAAGTGAATGAATGAGTGATTTTCAGCACCAATGCTTAGATGTATTCCAGCAGAGACTGGAGGGTTGCAGGTATTAATCTTCTCCAGATGTCCTTAAGCAAGGCATTAATCCTCTACAAACCCTCCGGGGCACAGCATTGTGGTTGACCTCTGACCTCTCTGAAGGAACGTAAATCTCATTTTTTAGACAAAACTGCCTCCTTCAAAAGATGAAGGATCTCTTCTCTTAATAAACCTAGTTCCCAAACCCAGAGCCTTACACAGACTACAACTAGTGGTGCGTTCAGGTGCTCCTCCTTAATTTATAATTAGCCTCAATTCTCAATACTCAATAAGGATAGAAATGTGTCCATAGCATCAAAAACCGCCATGGTTACTTATTCTCAGGTAGTTCTTGATTTAATTCATAATCCTGCCCATTTTAGTCCTTTGTTAAAGTTCTTATATGGATATTTGTGTTTTTAAAACAGTTAAACATACAGTTTGTAATTTCTGCCCCATTGGGGTCTCATATCAAAATAATAACAAAAGATGAAAATCGCTAAAAACACTGAATAAAGCAGTTCCACCTTAAAAATCACTGCTTCTCCCACACTGTTGGACAGACAAAGGACGTCC